ACTTTTCAAAAAGATATAGATTAGATATATAGATTAGATTTATAGATTTGATTTAGCCCCTTTTTAATGTTCGTTCAAGATTGAGAGAAAAATGGAATCATGGGATTTATGGCAGATTTGGCAGACGTAATGCATGGTGTGCGCCGTTGTTAATAAGCCATTTTGTTCGATACACACGGTTTGTTGCCATCGATTTATGGATTTTTGCACTTTTTGCCTAGAAATTATATTAGGTCGGTGCAAAAGTTTTGTCAGTTTTTTCAATCCATCGGCAAACACGTTAGAATGAAGATAAACTAACACTTCAAAATGCATCCGATGCAGAATTTCTTCCTATTTCCAGCTGCTAGACTCCCATTGTGTTTCGTTGCGAGAGTGACGAGATATTTGCTGGAAAGCACAACCACTCGTTTTCACCATGTCCAACTTTCGCTAATTTTTAAAATTTTTGTATGAGACTTACGGAGGAGCCTAAATAACCATCAGATAGGACAAACCTTTTGCCAACTTAAACAGTTTTTTCTTTTTTTCAACTGCTTTTTCAGATTTTTGCTGAATAATTTTCTGAAAGTCTTGTGTTTTGGAAAAATGGCACAACCTGTTATTGAACCAAACACCGCAAAACCTACAGAAGACTGAGGTTTCGACACTGGTTTATTACTACCGCTACCATTACAAAGTAAATGAGCGATTTTCGCCTCAAATTATGAAGATTTTGCAGCATAAGTTACGTCAGTGCGTACCCCTGAAATTGAGAAATACTGCGATTTTCCCACACAAATTTCGCCTGTCTCTGCAAAAATACAAGTGTTAAAAGGAGGAGAAAAAGTTGCATCGAATGGTGACTGAAGTGCTCAACATTTTGTGTTCTACGAAGTTAAAATAGGCTGAATGTAAAACTTGGTCACCTCAAAAAATTCGTAGAAATTTTGAAAGACAAGTTGTAGGGCTACAAAAAATTGCTTCTGTTGGCAAAAGGTTAGCCCTATGTGCAGGTTATCAAAGCTCCTCAGAAAGTCTCATACAAAAATTTTGAGAATTAGCGAAATTTGGACATGCTAGGAACGAGTGGTTGTAATTTCCAACAAATATCTCGTCACCAGCTGGAAGGAGCAAGAAATTCTGCATCGGATACATTTTAAAGTGTTTGTTTATCTTCATTCTAACGTGTTTGCCGATGGATTGAAAAAACTGACAAAACTTTGCACCGACCTAATATTTGCTTTAAAACGATAGGAGTTATGGAATATAGACCAAATTTGCCAGGCATAACGCATGTGTGAGATGTGTTTTAAGGCACCCGCCATACTTGATCCGCTTGATCCGCTTCATCATTGGTCAGTTCAGTGAAATGACCAATAGTGAAGTGGATGAAGTGGACCAAGCGGATCAAGCGGACAACCGCTTCGCTATTGCTCAATTCACTGAATCGACCAATGACGAAGCGGGTCAAGCGGATCAAGTAGATTAAGCGGATCAAGTATGGTGGGTGCCTAATGAGCCTTTTGTTCAACTATAATGATCGATCCTTTCAATTTATTGATTTTTTGCAGTTCGCGTAATATCCATTACTTAGGATGTTAATTCCAAAACTGACAAAGCCGAAATTGCCCACGGTTGTTCTTTCTGTGCCGGTTATAAACGAAGTGTTCGTGCAAAATGGCAAATTTTCTGCATTTCACTTTCAATAAAGAACAAAACGAAAAATCTACCGGAAGCGAAGCTGCCGTTTACCAGCCGAACCTGCCGCGTAGCGGCAGAGAGCGGCTGGTATTGAATATTATAAGATACCTCGTTGATGTAAGCACAGCTTTTTGGCTCCGAGAGATCAAAACCTTGCTCATGTCAACAAGTTTAGCATCTCAACTAAACAAATTAATCAGCGAGTACACAAGTCTCATAAACGTCGTAAACTGAACATTCTAGGGTAGCTACAATCGGCCAAATCGGCATTGTACAACGAACAGTACGTGACACAGGAACCTGTTGAAGTCAATATCAGCGGTATATCTGAGAAGAATCAATGTTTGAGGCGCGTGAATTCAAACTGAAAAATTCTAGAGGACAGCTTACCAAAAATTGGCTTTGCATGCTGGTAGAGCAGCTCCGCACCAGTGTCCAGTATACTTGGGGAAATTCGAAATTTTTTTTCGAATTTTCGAATATCGAATATATTTGAAAATAGATTATCGAATATTCGACTATCGAATAATATTCGGAAATCGAAAATTTCGGATATTCGACTATCGAATATATTCGAAAATCGAAAATTTCGAATATTCGACTATCGAATAATATTCGAAAATCGAAAATTTCGAATATTCGAATATCGAATATCATTCGAATATCAAATATCATCTTTCGAATATCATTCGATTTTCGAATATCATTCGGAATTTGAATGTCTATGTGATATGATAACATGACCAAGCGCATAGTTTACAAGTACTGTGAGTCTTTCTAGTTCCCTTTTATGCGTTTACTATTCTGCAGTGCATGAAGTATTCTCAGCGCGCTGCGCGGACTCTGTCCATCGAGCTCGTGCTGTCGACAACTTGACAATGCACATATAGTATACACATTGTTGAACTTTGTAAGTGCTATACACACAACTTTCAAATCGGCACTCATGGCAATAAGCAATCTTCCTCTCATTGGCAGTGCGATAAGCTAGACCGCTGCTGGAAATACTATACAATGACTGGTTCTACCTGCGCACTACAACAAACGACGAACTTCTTGACCCAATACTTTTCCTTCGGTTCACTAGTGCATTATCTTGAATACGCCCTCAATTTACGATGTCGAGTGGAGGTAACGCTGCGACGATAGCAGGAACCCTCATGTTCATGTTCACATCTATCACCTTTACCGAATGCGAATGAAGAACAGCGTGCACTAGACCTCAAGCAGGGTCGGTAGTAATCTGATCGAAACTCACAGTTATTCTGAGTTGATTCTGAGTTATGTCTGAGCTAACGCGCACCTTTCTTACCCCCTCATTTAGTGCTTGAATGAACCAAATTTAGAAAGCGATATATGGCAGGGGACTCCGTAACCGGTAGTTCATCCCTAATAGGAAAACATCGTCGAAATCGTTCTGTACAAGAAACAGCGCCACCAAAGCGCAGCTGTGCATTGCGATAACTCTGAGTTTGGTGCGCGTTACAGTCTATCGTGGAACTCAGAATATCTCTGACGATGAGTTTGGTCAGAGGAAGAGAAATAGTGTAAAAAAAAAGAGGAGCAGCTAAAAAGTCCTTTGAAGTACATTTTGCTCGTACCTTCAGAAGGCATGATGGGGGAGGGGGGTATCGCAGTGTATCTACAAGATATCTATCTATCTACAAAATTTTGAAATCTTGTTAAACCTTGGTCTAGGAGGTTGTTCGGTGCGCTGATCTTCACTTTTTCACGTCGGTGTCAAAGCCGTGTTACGGTGGGTTTAAAGGCAGTGGATCGACAAAATCGAACAACTCAGAATCTAAACGCGGTAAGTTCCTTATCGCCCAAGAAAACAGTGCAATCCCGGTTGCACAGCATGCTATCCCTGCCGAGAAAACTGCTCTCATACTTACACGCGCAGGCCAATCTTACATGCATCCGGACAAGTTGGCACTTCCTTCTCACCATTGGAGACTGCCCGCCGTAATACTATAACCATTGGGTCATGCAACGATTTAGCGTCATCAGCCTTGCTTTACTCGTCCAATATCAAAGGGAAGGGCATTAAAAAAGCTCATTTTCGCCGTTTTCAAGCTTTTAAAGTGGATTTTCGGGATCAGCGGGATTAAATAACCCCAGGTAAGTGCAAATTTGACTAGGTTGAGATTTGCCGAGCCACTGCCTGCAAACGGTCAAAGTCTAAGTTTAAGATTACTGATAGACGCTGTCAAAGACCATCAAAATCTGGCGTCCCTGGATAGCGAAAAATCGATAGCAGCTACATACCGCGACAGAAATGGCGCATCACGATTACTGTACAGACTACTGCGCCAGGACCACAAAACATATACACTTCCCATTGAGTGTTGTAGCTTGATAGAAACTCCTACAGTGCCGTACTAAGCTTATGGAGTTCCATCCGGGGCCCGGCATGAGTTCGTTTCTAGTCTTCTCAAAGAAGTCCCCTTTCACTCTCAGCCCTACTTTTGCCTTTTCGCCCCAAAAACCAAGTCCAGCTTGCTTCCACACAACCTGCGCCGGGCTCTGGTTCCATCATTTGAAGGTCATCGAATATTCGAATGTTCGATGTTGATCGAATGATTCGAATATTCGATGACCATCGAGTGATCGAATTGATGACCATCGAATATTCGACTTTTGAATAATATTCGAAATCTCAGATTTTCGAATATTCGACTTTTCTCAGACATTCGCAGTCAAGTCCCGCCGGTGAAAAAGTTGTGTCCCGCCGGAATGACTGCGGGACACAAGTAAAATAGTTCGCGAGAAAACCGGGACTCCCGGTTTTCGTTCGGGATAATCCGGCGCGACTCCCGGTTTTGTCCCGACATGTTTTCTACTGAGACCTTCGGGAGTCCCGGTTTTCTCGCGATTCGGTCACCGGCGGGACTCCCGCTCTAGACTGCAGTCTCCTGCGGGAGGCGCGATATAGCAGCGACCCGATCAGCTTCCGCCTGGGCTTTTTCTAGAATTGGTTCTCCTTCAAAAATTTACACTACACACATCTTACAAAGGTGCTGTGCTCGACACAGAGTTCAGAAAGACTCTTCATTAGCATCCGTGACCAAAAAAAGAACATTGAAATCATCATAACTAAGTTAACAGAAAAAAACAGGAATGTCGAGATCAAGATTTGACATTGAATCCATTATTCAAAACGACTTCAGACTTTCGATGTCTTCGTCTTGCTCATGCTCTGGCTCATTCGTGTGCTCGTGCGCCAAAGAATCTTGCGTTGTAGCGGGGCAAAAACGTTTTTTCTGGAAAAGAATTACAATTCAACACTGATTTGAGAAATCATATATGAATATTACCGAGGGTGGCGACAGCATCTCCTTTTCAGCATCGAAATGGTAGGCGCGCAGGTCACCTCTGAACTTCAAATTCAATAGATTCATGAAGACTATCTTTAAAAGAAACCCACAAAGCTCTTCCTATAGCCACTCGTGCTAATCCACAAAGCTTCATCCTCGCCTCCGACAACCTGTCAAACATCTTCGTCCTCGCCTCATCGTTGTTTCCTAGGCCCAGCCAAAACCTAAATCAATGAGATATCAAGGGGTAGAAACACTTCTATCTATACCTATTTGATTGCCGCGCGCATTCGCTAGCACTCATCAGCAGTTCTTCTGCGTATAGGCCAACACCATCAAGAACGAAATCTGGAAGATCTATTTTAGAATTTTTAGAGAGACCATCAATTACTCACTTATCAAAAATGTGACGAGACTTTCGGGCAGATCCTGCAGATGCGCAAATCTTCCCCTTTTACCGGATTGTCTGCACGCAAAATTTTGGATTTCTTGTTTTGGTTCGCATGGAAATGGATAATAGTGTTTTCGTGATGAGACAGACGTCAAGCAAATAACAAATGAATGTAGTGATTTCAGAATAACATTTCTCATTTTATACTGGAGAAATCCAAATAGAATGAGTCTAGACAGTGATCTGCTGCAAAAAAGTACAATACTGCACAGACCCAGCTGCAAAATATAGCTAATCTTTTGGAATAATTCATCAAAAACCACGAATGGATGTGAGGATAGCTGGTGTTTTGTTGACTTTTCGAGTGAAATCTGGTGCGGAGGGGTTTCCCCCAATGAGCAAAGATCTAGCAAAATGACAAGTCAAGCAAAGCAGATAGCAAAACCCGTGACGAGCAAAATTTCCCCATCACATTTCACGAAAACACAACCGAGCAGCTTGGAATTTGTGTTGTTGTTCGGAAGTAACAATAAATCATTTACTATAGAAACCCATCACGTGTTGAATGATGAAGTTTTTTTAAAATAGGAGATCTCTAACAGCAGGTAAGAATCAAGGTTAGATTGTTTCCTTAGCTCAATTCCCCACCTCATGAAACTCTTTTTTTTCCTTTATTGTCTTTTCGCATATATGGTGCAGATTGGGAAATTATCTCCGAATGATAGGATCAGTATTATTACTTGGGATTTATGATTTGCTAATGTACGTATCTGTGCTGAGCGTCACTTAGAGATCATGAAAATGTGTTTGATCAGTATGAGAACACCATTTAGAGCGCGGAGCCGAATCGCTGCAGTGCCATAGTGCTAATTACTCTGATATATAATCCAGTCAACCCTTTCTTCGAAAAATGGCAACTAAAGTGGCCTGTAGAACGTTTGAAAACGTGAAAGTATCTAGTCAACAGTTTTCGAAACTTTAAGAGAGCGTAACTATAGTTAATAGAACTATATAGTTAATGCAGAGTGTGGAAATAGAGGATAGTGTGGAGTTAGTGTGGAAATACGAATGAATCGATACTGACGCGCAATAGCGTCACAATCGATGAGCGCGACTCCCGGTAATCTCCCGCCACTTTTTGACTGTCGGGATTGTCCCGAAAGTCGGGACAAAACCGGGAGTCGCGCCAGACTCCCGGTTTTCTCGCGAAATCTCATTTTGTGGGCGGATCGCGGGACTTAACTGCGAATGTCTGAGTTCGAATCATTCGCACTCGAATGATTTATTCGAATAATCGAATAATCGATTCGATTCGGTCCCAAGTATAGTGTCCAGACGATGTGATTCGGAGCAATTGTGTAGGTAATTACAATTCCACCGTCTAAAAAGAAAAGAAAATCAACACGTGCAAATTAGAGCCTGACGGAGAGAAGAGAAGAGAACGGAGAGAACGCTAGAACAATTCTGCCTTACGAAACTACGAGTGACGGAGCATTTTCTAGCGGAGAACATACTCGTCCGAACAAGTTGTTAGGGGAGCGAAAGGAAAAAGGGGAGCGGCGCTTGAGCCGCCCTCTGGCTTGCAGAGTTCACATTTTCGGCGCCGAGTTGTTGTTTTGGTTCATTTGTAGGGCCTCCTATCCATCTGTGTCAAAATCTGAGTTTGGTCAATTTTGCCCGTAGGCTGCCTTTAACATGGAAAAAAATATCTATGAATCGAAATCTGCCCGAAGTTGCTGCACCATCAAAATAAGAACAGCTTAAATCCGCTATCCTTAACAAGCAACTCAACAGAGCGTATCAACAATCAAATTTTAGTACAGTAACCCCGCTAGATCAAATGAGCATGCAATTCCCGCGCATGAAAAACAATAACTCGCTTTGAAATATTGCGCCACAGCTAAACATAACACATCTAGAATCAGCATTCGAAGTTGATTCCCAACATATGTGCCTCATCTCGAAACGCTATTCTAGGTTACGTGACATCCCTTGTAAGAACAGGGCATTGCCAGAAACCCGAAGGCCGTCTGGCTTAAAATAGACGCACTCTTTAAGAATCGGCGATCGCCTTTTTGTAAAGCAGGGGTTAGCCTAGGCTTAGTTATTCAAAAACGTTAATAAAATCTTTTTTTCACTCTTACAGCAAGGACGGGGCCCCGCGCGAGGGTGGCAAATTGACACCGGTGAAACGTCTTCGTCTTTGCCACTATCGGTTCTTACGATTTTTCTTGATTCCGCCAGTTGTGTATGTTGTTCGACTGGAGCGCGCTTTTCTTCTCACAAAAAAAAAGACGTTAGATCGTTGAAATTACTGATCCTAACAAGAAGAGGAGGAGTTTTGGAATTCGAATGTTACTGTACATTAAACTTTAAATAAACACTCACATACACACCAAATTTTCGGTCACACGAGTCATTTTTCTATTCGGTAGAATTTTCAGAAAAAAGCTTGCCAGGAACTTTATTCACAAAGTCTTTCGACAATACTCTGCACTATGTTTCCCCTAGCTGTTGTCTATTTATAATTTAATTTCGTAGTCATAAGTTATGTGCTCATTGTCGAGGCAGTCAATTATTATACTATCAATGTAAGGAGATCTGGATTTTTGGATGAGCAAGATTTTGCGTGTCAGCTGTAGCAACTTGTCGAGAGAGCGTATGTACAATACATGTAAAAGTAGATTCATTGTTGCAAAAATAATGTTTTGCAAAAATTTACTCTAAAAGGCTATAACTTGGTCCAGTCTTCATATTTTTGAATGCAATCAGGACCGTCAGAAGCAGTAAGCCTCGTTACCTGATGTGCACTTGCATATACTAATATCGCAAACGGGAATACAAGAATGCGCCAAAAAACCGAGTTTTTCTCTTGAGACCTCATATTTGAGAAATTACAACTCAATTCAAGTTTGGTTTCTATTGCTGCTAATCAACTTATTTTGTAGACGCAAGCAAGTAATAAACATTTGTATAGAAAAAAACTTCATAGAAGGGGACCGCGAAAGGAAAAAAATAACAGCTCAGAATTGTTCACTTTCCTGAGACTATTTGTGGTAGGCCAGAAAACCCCAAGCTACGAAAATTTCAAATTCTTTATGCACTGAGTAACTACATTTTTCTGCAAAATTGTACAGTCTGCCCCAATCGGGGTCAGGCCGAACCGTTGGGGTGGATTGAACGCTCGCAGTGCTAGGTTTTTGCGCCGCATATGCGCACTGTCAAAGAAGAGAGCGAAGAGATTAAGGAGAAATCAGACAAGCAGGCGTGACGGCGTGACGCAAAACGCTAGCGACGCGGGCTCCCGCCATGCCAACTTTGGCCTGACTAAATTGGGGCAGACTTTAAGAAAGATGTCCTGACCTCATGCTACAGAAATGAGAGGAGTTTGGCGATTGCCCTAATTGTGAGGAACTTTAGAATCATAGAATGCCAGCAGCGAGTATACAGTGCTGGTCATAGCTATAAAGCCACCCTAAAAATCACCGTAATTTGCTCTCTCTTGCTCATAATTGTCTGAAAACCCACTATTTTGTGCGCAAACTTACGTCATACCATTGACCAGAACGGCTCCCAATTTCATGGATTTTGAAGGGAGAAAAACTGAGAAATTTGAAAAAAGGGTTCCGAAGGCTGGTCACAGCTATAAAGCCATCTCTCGTTTTCAATCAGTACTGCGTTTTGTGAACCTCAAATTTTTTGTGCATATACAACATCAAAATATGAAACATTTGTTACACTTGGAAGGAATGCCTTTTAAAAAGAAGATTCGTACTGCATTTTTTGCTCTAAAATGCTTAATAAGTCACATCATTTGCAAAAAACTGCTTTTTCACTGAATTTTGAAGCACTTGTTTGACTCGGATGAAGGTCCTAGGATTTGTTTGGCCTTTGCAATGAACGATGTGAAAAGTGCTGAACTGAAAATTGCGTAGTCGCTAATCTTGATAAACGAGCCCTCATCTTACCGAGGTGTAAGCACGCTTTTGAGGCGCAAAACTCGATTTCTGACGCGCGAAAACTTTTGGTTGGAAGTTGACACCTTGTCTGCATGGCGATGTACTCATGCAGAAGTTGTCAGGTTTTTTTGCAAAGATGTATTTGCCGCACTAAAGTTAGAGCGATTTGTCTGCAGTTCGGTTGTGCGCAGTGTATCTCACAAGACTTCAGATTTCACTGCTTTGAGCTCCTCATCAAGTCAAATCTTACTAAACTGTCAGGAATAGTAGGATTTTCAAGTTTTGAGCGGTTTTCCGCTCGATCGAGGTGGTTAGAGTGAGTCATGATTAGACGGAGTTCACCACTCATTTTAGGAAAAAAGGCGTCCAAAGCGGAACCAGAATCCTCAGAGTTGCGATGACGTACAAGCTATGCGCACGCGTCTATTTTGTACAAGCGACGTGCTGAGCACGCGACAGAGCTTTTCGGGCATTAAAACTCAATTTCTGCGGTTCAAAAACTCGTCTACCTGGAGGGGAGTTTGGGGTTCGTTTATCAATATCAGGGACTAAGCAATGTTGACTCAAGCGCTTTTCGCTGTATTCATTGCAAAGGCTCGGCAAAGCATAGGGCCTTCATCCATGTCAAACAAGTGCTTCAAAATTTAGTGAAAAAGCAGTTTTTTGCAAATGATGTGACTTATTACGCATTTTAGAGCAAAAAATGCAGTACGAATCTTCTTTTTGAAAGGCATTCCTTCCAAGTGTAACAAATGTTTCATATTTTGATGTTGTATATGCACAAAAAATTTGAGGTTCACAAAACGCAGTACTGATTGAAAACGAGAGATGGCTTTATAGCTGTGACCAGCCTTCGGAACCCGTTTTTCAAATTTTTCAGTTTTCCTCCCTTCAAAATCCATGAAATTGGGAGCCGTTCTGGTCAATGGTATGACGTAAGTTTGCGCACAAAATAGTGGTTTTTCAGACAATTATGAGCAAGAGAGAGCAAATTACGGTGATTTTTAGGGTGGCTTTATCGCTATGACCAGCACTGTATATTTCGGGGAGTCGATTTCTCGGTTCAGACAATTTTGAAA